CTCGCGCCTTCTGTTGCGTATCGCTCGCGCATTATGAACCGTCATTACAGAGGCGCACTTATTATGGAGTATTCGACTGTGAAATAGAAATGAAATGCTGAACAATTTTAAATTTGATGGACTCTTGTTCAAACAACCATAAACATAACAATAAACTGGTCTACTGTTTGATGTCATAAGTCATATTGTTACCAACACTATGGATTCAGGGTCCGAAATAAATTATTATTATACTATGGTTCAGGCATGTACCTACTCGAGCTATCGGCACGTTCAGGGCTGATTCTCACCTACAGCACGTTTTTGAGGCGGAAGTGTTTAGTAGCGTTCTAATTATACAGGTGAAAAGCCTTCAGCTCGTCCTTTGTCTCGTGGCGCAGTCAAAGGTATCATCAGTCAACTGCTAAATAAACTTCAGTCCGTTGCTGCCCAGAATTGGAACCAAGAACCACTAAGCAGAACTAGAAGAGTTTAAGGATATTATTTTAGTTTGAAGATAACATTGGATGTGGATGCTAAGTGTGATTCAACCCTAAATATATTTTAATTTTATACTGTCTAATGACAAACCTTTTAACTTTAATAATTAATTAAACACAAACTACGCAATTTATTAAACATCTAATTATTATAGCAATTTCGATGTTTTCTTTTTATTTCAACTCTTCTTTTTTTAGGTTTTACGTTTAACGTTACGATTGATCTGGGGGTCGATTGAGAACCTTACGATAATTCAGTTGTCGACCGATTTCTTTTCATTTTTATTCACAACACCTGAATCGAACGTCGAACTGTCGCATTCGAAACAATGGCGTCACTCCCATACGATTACTCGAACTTCTCGACCGGCAAAGGCCACAAGCGTTATTCAGAACACAGTTATCGAATGAAAGTTACCAAACGTCCTATTGTTTACAGAGAAATAATGTAATGTGGAAATTTATTATTATATATGTATAATATATTGAAGTATGGATTTTGTTCAATTTTATTAATTTATTTTAATGCAAGACTAATGCATTCCAATTTTTTTAGGTTTTTGAAGTCTTAAAAATGTATATAAAAGGATTTTCGTCGTTTTCTTATAACCTATTTCACCGACTAACTCCGTAAAAGCTGTTTGATAACGATATCGTATCCGAATCGAATTTAACTCTGAAAGTTCTGAATAGCTCAGAAAGCGCCCTACGATTCGAGAACGATGTCCAATCGAACGATTCAGTTAAAATATCGAAGAGTTCTGAATCGGGGTCCTGAAGAGAGACTAAGCACGAGCGCAACGAAGCAACGGTATGCTTCGGCATGCCTAAGGCTAAATTTGACATATCTACATTCTGCGGAAGCCGCGGTGCCGCAACCACGGGGGTCGCGGGTAAAAACCGCTCTGAGTTCTTAGCCTAAGGATAACGTTGCATATTTGCCGTCAGTGTACATGTACGCTTGCATATAGGGATGCCGATGGATCCCTCGTCATACCATCCCGCCAATGGGCAGCGGGCCTTACAGTAAACCTTTTTTACAACTACGACAAGTAGATAAAGTATTCTCGCCCGTGACAGTATGTCGCGTTGTTCAGGCACCAAAGTCCTACCGCATTTAAAATTGAGACTGCCTTTTTTCTCTCGTAAATGGCGACCAACCACAGCCGAGCTATGTCCGTTGCTGATGAGTGGTTGGTACTCGTTGCCACCAGATATTATGCCGCATTCGATTGCTGCTGATCGGGTGCTGTTGCTACGTATGTTGATGTGAAGATCTTGGAAAGAAAAAATATATTTTGGTGTATTTTTTTATGATGTTAAGAGACAGTGATGAACGACTCGCCTATCCATAACAGTTCTGCTGTTCTTATCATAAACAACGTGATCGATATTTTAGCGAAATTGAGTTAAACGCAGGTGAATGTAGCTAGCTATAACTTAGCTTAGTTCACGTAGTTGCATGCAAAGCTAAGCTAAGAAAATACGTAGTAAGTAGTGACTGTAGATACGTGCGGAGGTGAAAGAAGGACGCCATATTTTACATAGCTAGCGGGATCGCTGGGTTAGCTCTGTAGTCGTAGCCCTGGCTTCGTGAGCTAAGTTAGTTCAGCTTCGTTCGTGGTGTGACCTGCGCATTATTAACATATCTGGAATCAGCTAAATAAGATCCAGGACCCCTATAAGCAATTTTTTATGTTGCTTATTTTAACTTTTATTGTTATGCAAAATCAGCGCAGGTAATTGACACAAACAAAAAAAAACTTTTCACCTCACTAGCTCAGAAGGTTTAAGAAAGCAAAAGGTTTTTAAAATTCGAACTTGACGATGGACTATGGTGCACCCTTAGAGGATGGAATAGTCTAATGGTGCACCTAACTTTTTCTTGATGAAAATCGATGTCAAATCGACGAAAAAAATAATATAGACACGTTCAATTACACAATTTGTCGTACATTATTTAAGTAATATAAATCCGTTACCATTTTCCTACCTTTAGTGAGGTGAAAAGTTGTGTATTTCGCTCGGCAGCAAAGTTGTTGTGCGTCTCGTGCCTTGAAACCCTCGTTACGCTCAGGATTCTATTTTTGAATATTAGCCTCCTTCGCTTGCATTAGGTTTCAATACAAGCAATTGCGTCTAACAACAACTTTGCAGCCTTGCGTAACAAAACTATTATAGAGGTGCATATATTCAATATTTATTTATATAATATAATAAGTAACCAAAATCTAAAGGCGTTGGTTATGACAAGGATGGCAGAGTTGTAGTGCCACTCAGTGTTTTAACCGCAAGGATCTGAGGGGCACTGCCACTGCGCCCGTCTCTTTGAGACATAAACTTGACAAGTTTCATATGCTTGTAGTTTCGCCAACGCCCTCGCCTTTAAAACCGAAACGCAGTAACGCTCACAATGTTTGGCGGCGGAAATAAGTATAATGCAGTAGAGTACCACCCCGCTTTACGCGAGGGATAGGTACGTTCCATAAAAAATCGCGTTAAGTGAAATTCGTATACATGAAATACAATATATAGTACCTTAACTTTAACTGTAACTTTTTAAGCCAATTTGATCTTTAACGTATACTTAAATACAGGATACAAATTTCAACTATTATACTTATTGTATGATACTTTACCGTAGAATGCGTATCAAAACCTCGGCAGGCGGGTCCGGTATCTTAGGATATCGACTTAACATATCTACATCGCTGCTTAGTGGCAGAAATAAGTAAGGATGCAGTACCCAGACTGAACGCTTTCACAAGGAGTCTACGCTACTAAAACTGATTGTCATTCTACAAAAAAAACAAATTTCAAGTTGGAAGTCTTCCTTTCTCTGACAACTGCAATTATTTCTCTATTATATTTAAGTACCTACCAAAGGGTCTAAAATATAATATCTTAAGCGTGCAAAATACTGTTTTGAAAGCATTGGCTCTACTTAGGTAAACAAAGTTACCCATATTTCCAATGCTCTCGATGACCGCGATGGTGCAGTTCTGTGTCACCGTTGCACTATATTTCCAAATACCTTCGGTTATCGGACATTTCTAGTGAAGTTTGTAAGTGACGTGTTTTAATATTTTAAATACAAGACGAAAACTTTCGTGTGCCAATTTTGTGTGGTTTTGGAGAAAACTTACTTCACTATTCTTAGAATTTTGTACTTAAGTAATTACAAAAATTATTAAAACTCAAAGTAATATAATACTATTAAATAGTTATTAACATTATGATATTAAAAGGAATTTAAAATATTATTTTTCAAACTTTATATTGTCACAAAAAAATCAGGTATTAAAGCCGTGGTTTTTCGGCGATATGCGGGCCAAAATTTTTTTCATTCACAACGCCTGAAAATTTGTTGAAAGTACAACTTTTTTCGAATGTATTTTGGATCTTTATAACTGTTCTTCTGTAGTTTCCTATTGGTACTTATTTGAGAAAAGATATTTATCTTTTTATCTTTTTTTTATTGGTATTTACCAATAGGAAACTAACTTAACTTAACTTACGCTTACATTCTGGGAAAGCGACAACGCTTAATAAATAGTGTTTTAAATTCATTTTAATATCATGTTAATAACTGTTTAATATTGTTATATTTTTTTTACTTTTAATCATTTTTGTAATTTCTAAGTATAAAGATCTAAGAAATTCGAAGCAACTTTTCTCCAAAATCATATAAAATTGGCACACGGGAGTTTTCGTCTTGCATTTGGAATATTAAAATACGTTGCTTACTAAGCTTCACTAGAAATGTCAGATCTGAAGGTATTTCAGAACAGTGTGTATAGGAGTAGTAGTAACATCACTGTGGTCTGTCATTATGCAGCGTATTTCAAAAGTATTACAGTTTACTTGAATAATTTTTTAAATTGGAGTACGTGGTCAAGAGCACGTCAAGCTTGAGGTTTACGATTTAAATTCAATTCCCCATCGCTTACTTAATAAAAGCGAACGGTTCAAAGGTACGAAATCGCGCGTGCGACCCGTGGAAAGTTAAAACAACACAAAAAAAATTATGTATTAAAAAATTATGCACTTTTTTTACTTATGTGATTTAGTCCACCGACCCTAGAATCATTATTATAGATATAAGAACTCGTAGGGCGCTGAGAGCTTTTTTGGTGTAGTCGACTCATAGGCTGCATGTATAAAATGACTGTGACTGTAAGTATATGAATGACCGTGTGATATATCCTTAGAGGATGGAAAAAAAAAGATATATCACCCAATATTTGTCAGATTTTTTTATGACTTCGCGTAGATATTTATCACGTTTTGTGTAGGAGTAGAAATGACATTATGCAGCGTATTTCAAAAGTACTTATTCGAGTTTCTTTTTTTTTAAATTGGTTACGGGATCCAGAGCACGTCAAGCTTCGCTTGTAATTATGGGAACTTGAATATGGGAAGTTGAAATCGTCAAGCTTGCTGTGCTGTAACTTATACATAAATCGATTAGAATAAAAGTTCTGTTGTTCGATTGTTTTATTTATTTTCACTCACAATAACGTATGCATTAGTTTCTAAAATGTCAAAATAAACTTTGTACGTATTTTTCTACATATTTATGTAAATTATATAAAATTAAATGTTACATTTAATAAAGAAATGGACACAACTACACAATAAATTATACAAATCAGTAAGACATGACAGTTCGTATCCAGCTTGTGTACTGTGCCGAGTCGGTGAATACAATGTAGTCTTTGAAATTGCATGTGTTTCCATTAACGTTTAAACCGGTCGAAACTATGCCGCGTAGTCGCCAACGGCCACCTTCTGAGAGGTACAATCCACCGCCGGAGTCTCCTGAACATGGTCCTGTGCCGCTTCTGTCACCTAGAACAAATTATTTTAAAATGTTACAGCAGAAATCGCATAAATAATATCTTTATTTATTTCGACAATACAAAACAAAGTAACATTAGAGTAGAGATAAATATTACTACATTCGTCCCCTTGTGGGCGCTTCAGGCCTAAAGTGGGGCAGCAAGAGACCCAGAAACAAAATGGGGGCGTTTTGTAGAGGCTTAGGGGGAGATTTTTAATTTCGTCTAGGAAGACTCTTAGGGTCGTATTCTAGAACTCTACTCAGTGCTCAAGTCATGACTTGAGTATGATTCAAAGCACTAGAAATCATACTCAAGTCCTTGCATTAGGGTCGTATTTCCAGTGTTTGAAATCATACTCAAGTCTGCTCAAATCCTGACTTGAGCATTGAGTAGAGTTCTGGAATATGACCCTTAGACACCGACTGAGCTCTCGACTCTCGACTACAACTTGTGAACCTCAACTAATATTAATTAAGAGTTTGCTCAAACTAACTCGGTTCGATATTTCTCTCCGTGTAGTTCATATATCTGTCCTGTTTTATTGAATAAATAAAATAAGAATCATGTCAACCGGTCGCTACGTTTCGAAATGAAAGTAGACTCAAACAAACAAATAAAAAGGCAACAGATACAGTTTCGCATTTTAATAGTTATTAGTATTCCTGGATTGGTAATTTTCGTAGATAATAGACCGCGGGCAATCATGTTTTAACAAGTTTTTGTTAAATAACCCGATTTGTGCATTCCTGTATCAATCGGCTGCTGGTTCAAAGAATACTTGTTCTTACTTGTTGAGTACGATTGAGCGTCGAATGAGATAAACGAGTTTATGCATGTTTGTCTTGTTCCTGTCGGTGCGTGCTGCTAATGTAATCTTATATAAACAACCTAATATTTATTTTATTTTCATTTGCGGTTTTGCGCGTAATACGTAAGTAGTACTTAAGTTCAACACTTACTTACGTATTTCTCAAAACAAAACAATGTCGGAAGTAAAAAAGAAGAGACGGCAATACTGTACGGAACATATTAAATTCGGATTCATTGAAAATCCCACAAACTCATCGTCGCCTTTGTGCCTTCTATGTCTAAAAACATTTTCGAATGAAGCAATGAAGCCTTCAAGACTGCAAGATCATTTGAATAAAATGCATCCAGATAAATAAGACAAGAATGTAGTTTATTTTCACGAACCAGAGACAAAGCATAATACTCAGCCAAGTGTAGCAAAACTCTTTTCGGCGGCTGCTAAGCAAGATGACGACGGACTTCGAGCTTCGTACAATATCTCTTTGTTAATTGCTCAAAAAGGCATCCCACACAACATCGGAGAAGAGTTAATTTTGCCAGCAATAATGGAAGTAATAACTACTGTGGTTCATAAACCGGCCGCAGATATTATCAAAAAATTCCTTTGAGTACCTAATAATTCTGTGCAAAGACGAATTGATGAAATGGCTGAAAACATTGAAGAATCATAGTGCAACCATCTGAGAACTAATCAATTCTCAATTCAGCTCGATGAGTCCACTTTACCAACTAATGAAGCATTGTTGCTGTCTTACGTGAGGTTTATTAAAGATAAGAAAATATGTGAAGAACTATTGTTTGCTAGAAATTTAGCGACCGACACAAAAGGGGTAATCATATTCAATACATTGGAAAAGTTTTGTGATGAGAAAGAGATTCCCTTGAAAAATATTATATCAGTTGCTACGGTTGGCGCTCCGGCTTTGACAGGGTGCCATAAAGGCTTCATATAGTACTTATAAAAATAAAATTCCAGATGTCCTTGCTGTACATTGCGTTATTCATACAACATTTGGTTGCTAGAAATTTAAGTGAACGACTATTTCAATCACTGCAATATGTCATCAAAGCAGTCAATAAAATCCGTAACAGCTTTTTGAATGATAGATTATTTCATCAGCTTTGTGTTACTAATGACGAAGATTTCAACCATTTGTTCTTTCATACTGAAGTTCGTTGGCTATCAAGAGGCAATTGTCTGACTCGATTTTACAACCTGTTTGACTCTGTGATAGAATTCTTGGAAACTAAAGATACAGAACTGAGCAACAAGCTCATTACATCTAAGAATGATATAGCTTACATGATAGACCTGTATAAATTGTTCAACGACATGAATCTCCAACTGCAAGGCGATGAACTAAATTTAATTAAAACAAAAAATGTCGTTGCTGCTTTCGCAGCCAAACTGCTTCTACACAAAAAGAATATGGGAAGACGTGAGATTCACAATTTTCCGAATTTATCAGTATCCTGCAGTAACGACGTCTTGTTTGTCTACTGCCAACATTTGGAAAACCTCCACATTGACTTCACCGAATGATACCAGGACATCTTGAACTTGGAAATACCAGACTGGGTGTGGGATCCGTTTTCAAATGTCAACACAGCAATATCATCTCAGCTGATGAAAAATGGCTACCAAGAATTTTGGCTACAAAAACTGATCCCGCAATTGTACCCTGGATTGTGGTCAATCGTTCAACGATTCTTGATAGCATTCCCATTGTCATATTTGTGTGAACGTGGTTTTAGTGCAACGCTGCTTACTAAAAAGAGGAATCGTTTGCATGTTACCGAACGTGGTGACTTGCGGGTGTTCTTGAGTAAATTTTTAACCTGATATCAACAAACTTATTAAATAGCATCAGATTCATCCTTCACATTAGTTTTTATATTAGAATCGATTATGTTTGTTTTATAAGATACTCTGTCTGAATACTAAAAAGTTGCGTTTCAATAATCATTCTCATTGGCAGATGTAGCCCGTAAGAGTTAACTTGAGACCTGAGCGCCGTTGTGTACTATCTACTGCGCTCAGGTCTCAAGTTAACTCTTGCGGGTTATAGTAAAAGTCTCGTTTAGAATGAATGTTTAATCTCCGCTAATACAGCTCACAATAATTAGTTTAATTTGAAGTTATAGTGGTTTTTAAGTAGGTGAATAAATGGGGGCGCTAAAAAATAATTTATTCTCAAATTGGGCAGTAGACAAAATAAGTTTGGAAACCCCTGGTTTAGAGTAATGTATTGTGGGAGACTGGAGCCCAAACTAAGCAGAGTATATATGAGTATTGGGGAAATATGTAATTTATATCTATGTAAATAACGATTAAAAGAATTTTGTGTGTGTGCTCGGTTTCGCTTAACCAAGGTAAAAGACTCGTTTACGTTTTTACAATAAAATTCGGGAACATATATGAAGAGTATAATTTCCTAAGTTTAATTGATTGAAAAGTCATATTATAAAATTGAAGACTACGTGTTAGATAAAGATGTATGGAAAGACGACATGGCTCTAGATTCCACACAAATTTGAAGTGTATTCCATAGCATTTAAGTTTATTTGAAAAGCGTAATCCCCAGAGTTCTTTGCTCGTTCTTCTAAGGGAAGTAAGCGAAGTGAACGAACAGTAGCTTGACTGCCGTCCTCTTCCTAAAATGCTAAGTAACAAAATATTTTTTTTGAGCTATCTTAAAAAACCATAACCCAGTCTTAGAATATAGAAATTGTTTTTGTTAAGTTCCGATAAGTCGAACACGTTAAGTAATTTTAACTGTTCTTGAAAGAGAATTAATTTTGTGCTCTATCTTTTGCTATTTAAAACGGTTATTTGATCATTTGTCACTTAGCCGGGACAAATCTGACGTTTTCAAGTGTAAATTTATTTTACCTATGGAATAAATTCTTTGACGTTGACTTTAGCTTTGTTCATTGTAGCGTTAGAAATTGGCTGAATGAACTTTTTTCCTAGTAGGTATACTACCAACAACGCTTATCTCAAAAGTTTATCTATGTGTTTGTCGTAAGTGTGTAGAACTCAAACATCAACATACCTGCACACAGCGTTGTCGAAGACGTCAGCGTATGAAATTCAGGTCTGCTTCCTCGACAGACCGTCGTGCTGACGATTGGAAGGCGGGCCATTTTGGGCTCGCCGTGACCGGCAGGGCCGTCCTCGGTTTCACCCCATCCGGTTACCTGTAGAAACAGAGATAATTTATTCTAAAAGAAATCACACAATTGAGGCTATCAGCACAAAAGTGACGTAACCCCGTGTAATTTAATATATACTTTTTTATGATGCCAAGTGACGCAAAGAACAAATAGTGCGCCTGGTGGTAAGTGACATGCCTGTCCATAGCAGTTGCAGTGCCACTCAGCGCTTTAAATCGCAAAGATCTGAGGGGCACTGCCATTGCGCCCGCCACCCTGAGACTTAAGTTGACAAGTCCCATGTGCCTGTAATTTCACCAACGCCCTTACCATTCAAAATCGGAACATAGTTATGCTGACATCACTGCTTGGCGGCAGAAATAGGTTAGGTGACACACACAAATAACACACAGCCATGAAGTGAGCGTGCTGTGCTGTTATGGAGTCGTCATCAACTCAGTTTGGTGTCGTGTTACTGCTAGTACTACGATGATTTTCAGTCGATTATAAGTTGAAGTGGAAGTATAAATGAAAAACATTTAAAAAAATGTTATGAATGTTTAATCATAGGTAATAAAACTATTATTTTTTTTTTATCTAAACCTTCAATAATTTCTATATCTATATATCTACATTTTGCCACCTTTTTGGTACTTTTAGATTTACCTTTTCATAAAGAATCCTGTCTTTACTTATAAAAAATCGCTCTAAATGCCGTTTCAAGGTTTTTCATCGAAAGAAAAAGTTAGGTGCACTACGTCAATTGTGAAGTTCGAATTCCTAAAATGTTTCCACGCTAGCGTGCAAAAAACATTTTTACGTGCAGATTCCTAGCAAGAAAGAAAGCCTTTCCGAGTTAGTGGGGTGAAAAAGTTATTATTTGTCTAAAGTTAAAACTGCACGGACGTATTAGCAATAATTACGACAGCGGCACTACCTAAGTACCTATAGGTGATTTATGTTTCTACAAGAAACACTTTCTTTCTTTCACTTTCGGCAAACAGTCTAAAATGTGATTTAAAATTTAATGAACAAAATGGGAGTCATTTTTGCTTGCTTACAGAAACTTAAATTAGTAACTGTAGAGCTCCGTGGTAAAGAGTTCGTCCAGGGAAGTACATTACCAATTTCTGCCGCCAAGCAGTAATGTGAACATTACTGTGTTCCGGTTTTGATGGGCAAAGTTGCTGGTGAAATTACAAACATTTGGGACTTGCCAATTTATGTCTCAGGATGACGAGTGCAGTGGCAGTATGGGTCGTATTCTAGAACTCTACTCAATGCTCAAGTCAGGATTTGAGTATGATTTAAAGCACTCGAAATCATACTCAAGTCCCTGCCATTAGGGTCGTATTTCCAGTGCTTGAAATCATACTGAAATCCTGACTTGAGCAATGATTAGAGTTCTGGAATACGACTCTATGTCTCAGATCTTTGTCATTTACAGTTCTGCGCCACGTGTCGCTTATCACCAGGTGCACAACTTGTTCGTCCTGTCCCGACACTTTATAAGACTTTAACCTAATCGATTAGAGGCAAATCTTAAATTCTCACCACTCCTGTCTTCCCGACAACGCGACTCAAGTCCGCGTTGCCGCTCCAAAGACATATTGGCCTTATGTTGTTGTTGTACTTGACTGTACGATCCAATTTAAGCAATAAGATGTCGTCTGAAATTAACACATTGATTATTTTTTTAATAAATTTGTACCTATAACATTAACCAGGACGTTAAGAATAGGACGACTCCGTGTTCCCGTAGATGTTGTATAAAAAGTGACAGTGCCTAAGATTACTGATTTACGGTTACAAATCTGCCATAGAGTCATTTAAGTCTTCAGATACAGGCGAGTAAAAAATCATAATGACAAATTACAACGAAAGAGCTAACAATAAATTCATCAACTTCCTGAACACTCGAATATCTCTCCGAAGGTTAAACTTTAGAACATAGTACTTACAACCAATATGCAAAAACAGAGGCCGTGGGCTCGAACCCGGACTTGCACCTCTGAGTTTCTCGAAATTTATTTGCGAAATTCAATTTGAAATTTACCATGAGCTCTTCGGTAAAGGATCGTGATGAAACCTGAACGTCGAAGAAGATTCACAACCCTCGGAAAACGTGTAAACTGTAAAGTCCTCAACCCACATTGGCCTACACCCTCGCCTGAGAGAAGACCCGTGCCCGGCAGCGGAACGTATAAATGGGTTGATGATGATCATGATGACCAAGACACTTTTGACTTGGAATTGTTCTTGTAGGACACAGAGTCGAATTTAAATCAAAAAGTGTCTAGCTTGACCCTGCTTGACGCATCGTTTGTATAATGCAATGTCAACAAACAACACTTACAAAATCTAATCTACTTACTAGCAAGACTTTTCGCATCATAAGACTCGTGAATGTAAGCATCAGTTACGCTCCTGGTCACAGTGATGTCATCACTCCAATCCTCGAGATTGTGTACCCCGACTTTAATCACGAGGTCTCTTTTGGATATTTTTGTGCTCCTAACGCGCATGCAGTGAGCCGCTGTAAGATGAGAAGACAAAATTAATGAAATATAGATTTATTGTTAAACATGCATACACACAGGGCTTTATTTCTTATCGTATCGATGGCATACACTATATTAACTTAACCACGCTGATCAGGCCACAAGTATTTAGCCGCCATGCTGAACTGTGCATGGCATATGTTTGCCATCCTGTTGAAAGGATTTGCCAATCGGCGTAAGGTACTCGCCGAATGTTGCCCAGGGTGAGCCAAACGTACTAAGAATACGATTCGTCCATCATTGCGGGAGCCTCCTTTAGTGCACCCCAAATGTACGTCAGGGCCATGCGACACTGACGGAAAATACTTTAAATATTGTAGATAAGACATTTTGTTTCATGGAGCCATTATTTTGTTTCAAAAAGTGAGCAATAGTGCATTCAGACTTTTAAAAACGAAACGAGACGATACGAGAGAAAACATGCCCGTAGATTACGCTTTTTAAAGCTTTGTTTCAGTAAATGTACTCGAGTAATCTATGGGTTAGAGCGGTTCCACAGGACGTTTTGTAGCAGCGATGCAAATGCGATGCAGTCGGTAATCGTCTACCTTTGCACACGTGCGCGCTTTTAAACAGCGATACAAACGCATTGCAAGCGCGCGAGTGCACCGCTACACTTGGGATTTAAAGGCGATTGCATCGATGCAATTGCGAGTTTGTATCTATGCAATCGCCTATATATACAATAACATCCTCAGCATGTTGCTGGTACTGCCACGGCACTGCAGTTAGTGACGAAAGAGACTCAGTCTTATAAAGTCTTATAAAAGACGTTTTATAAAGACTCGACTCCATTTTACAGGACTCGAGCCTGATTTTAGGTTCTGGACTGGATTTTAGGCTTTAGACTGGGCGTTCGAGTTTTTATTAATAAGACTCAGTCGGTATACTAAAAGACTCAAAAGACTCAAAAGACTTAAACGACTTGAAAGACTTAAACGACTCGAGTTGTTAGCAAAAGACTTATACCTATTTTATGTCTTATTAAACCCGAAGTTTATAAATAAAAATGACGTAAGTAGTATGTAGTAAGTAATCACGTTTATTTACTTACAATAAAAATCGTAAAATAAATATCTTGAGGCTATGAGGCGCCAGTCGTTTTAGTCGTTTTAGTCTTTTTAGTGACTTTAGTCCAATAAGTCTTTTAAGCTTCCTAGGGTTAAAAGACTTTGACTTTGACTAGACTAGTCGTGAGGCGTTGAAAATTAGTCGAGGTTTTTTTAAAGGCCTTAATCAAGACTGAGTCTCTTTCATCACTAACTGCATAGAAGCGCGAAATATTACTTATTATCTATGCGAGTATAGTAGTATCTCGCGCTTCTATGTCGCTCTCACTCAAATCGCGCCCTACCGTGCTTGCCCTACAAATGTGAAAAAATAACATACTGTATGAGCAAGATCCGACATTCATGATGTGGTGGTGGTGGCTTAGTAGGCATAGTGTGTGGCAAGGTTTTGCTAGAAGACGTCGGTTCGATCGAAGGGATTTTTTCTAAGTGTTCGTTCTTTGTATTAATAATTATAAACAAACTAGTGGAGTAATTTCACAAAAAATAATTGAATATCAATTCAATACAAATTTAATTACAGTTAATAGCGAATTCTCTAGCCAGCGCTGGTAGCTGTAAAGTTACCTAATTGGGTGATGAGATACTTTCATAGATTTCTCATAGATAGCGCTACGGCTAAAAAGTCGTTGAAAAACCAAATACAAAGATCCGACAACAAGCACATACAAAAATTCGTGAGGTTCGCTAGTTCGTTCCTTGGTTTAGTTGGCAGAGCGTCTGACACGGTTTGCCAGAAGACGTCGTTTCAAATCCGGCCGGATCGAACGAATTTTTTCTAAGTGTTCGATCTTTGTATTAATAAATATAACAAACTAGTGGAGTAATTTCACAAAAATAATTGAATATCAATTCAACGTACACACTGTATTTACTGTACATATGGACTATTTATAGACCAAATTTGCGAAACAGGTCCGGACTACAATTATGTGTTTGCAAAGGTTAAGGGCAGGGTGAAAACCAGCGGTAAGCAACTTCTGCCGCTTGGTGAATACTGAGACTGTCCCACACACGCAAATTTTTGTTTTTTTTTTGTATTTTTACATACTTAGTCTTACTTTATTATGTAGTTAATATAAGTGGGAATAAGTAGTTTAAATGGTAAATGATTTAAACCTAGTGCCAACAATTTAGCCTATTGTGCAAGTAGTGTGTAAAGGTTCTTACTCAAGCGAAGTATTCTCACCTGTGACAATATGTCGTTCAGATATCAAAGTTCCACCGCATATAAAACTGAGACTGAGTTCTCTTCTCCTGTAAATGGCGACCAACCACGGCCACTCTCCCCTATTATAGGCAGCTCCGTTGCTGATAAGTGGTTGTTGCTCGTTGCCACCGGATACAATGCCGCATTCGACTGATGAACCATGATCGGTTGCTGGTTCTGTTGATGGGAAGGTCCTGGAAAGAAAAATTATATATTGGTGTAATTTCTTTTATGATATCAAGTGACGGAATGAACAAATCATGCGCCTGATGATAAACGACACGCCTAGCTGTCTATAACAGTTGCAGTGCCACTCGGCGCTATAATCGCAAAGATCTGAACCCACTGTCACTGCACCGTCACTCTGAGACATAGACTTGACAAGTTCCATATGCTTGTAGTTTCACCAGCACAAGAAACCGAAACGAAGTAATGCTCACATTACTGCTTGGCAGCGGATATAAGTAAGGATGCAGTACAGTACCACCTTCAGTTTCCAACAAAAAAGAATCATCAAAATCAGTTCACAAACGATGGAGTTTTCGCGTAACATACATACAAAAAAACGAACAGTCGAACTAAGAACATCCTCCTTTTTTTAAGGCGGTTAATAAATCTCGTGAAGTCAAAATCGCGGATATGAAGGTGTGAAATAAAGTACAGTAGATACATAGCTTAGCAGGTACATAGTTAGCAGCAGGCATAGGCAGGCAGAAATAATTTAGGATGTAGTAGGTACTTCCCTGGATGAACTCTCACAAGGAGCTCTACTGCTATTAAAATTGAATTGTGTTTAAAAAAAAACAATGCCAGAGAAACAGAGACTTCTCACATCTGCAATTATTTTGTCTAAGTACCAAAGAGTCATAGGCTCCTAAGACTATTGAAAACATTGCTTCGATTAAATTCGTAAACCTCGTAACCTGCATTTATGTGTACTTTTGAGTAGTACAATTATTCATACAATTGTTTCTAGTGTAATATTTCTGTTTTCACCTCATTCATCTTACTAGCTCGGAAAGGCTTTACTGGAAAGAAAACTGATGTTTTATAGTTCAACTGTTTTTTTTCCTCGCTATAGTGAGGTAAAAAGTTATGTTTCACTCGGTAGCAAAGTTGATTTGCGTCTCGTGGCTTGAGCCCTATTTTTGAACCATTTGTTTCGCTCGTGATTCAATCTTAGTTTCCTTCGCTTGCTCATTTTTCAATACACACACTCGCGTCAAACAACAACTTTGCAGTCTTGCATACCAAATAACTATTTTTATAACAATTACCTATATACCTTTACTTTATAACTTAAAAATAGTTTACAAATTATATTTTAAGCTTTAATTGCCCGATATTGCGCTCGTAGAACAAAAAAAGAGATTTCGTCCAAAAACACAGTTACGAGGTTTTCAAATTTAGCCGACGGCGACGATTATCTCCACTTAGGTAAATAAAGTTAGTGCTTATTCTGTGTCACCATTGTGATAAGAGTTATAAATGAGATTCTTATAAGTATAGAGAATAAATTTTAGTATTCTTCCACCCATTAGTACAGAAGTGTATAAATCGAGACGACCACTTACAGAGACGGCCTCTGTGGAGACGTTGGCGGTTGTGTGGCAGGTCTTGGTGCTTGCGTGACTTCTGGGTTATATTGAATCACGGGCACATGCTGGGGCGGCTGAGTAGCATGCTGCTCGTTAGTGTAGTTTACTGTGTAAGATATCAACTTAATCCAATGTCTCTACCACGAGACTGCAGTCACTACCGACCGCTTAAATTACTTTACAGTTTTGTATCGCAAATTGTATAGCGCTCCTAGCGGTCACTAGAAGAAACATTTTGTATACAAACATTTTATGCGGTCGCTAGCGAAAACTGTCACCGTAATCTTGTGGTAGAGGCACAGGCTGCAGTTGAAGTCTGTGTTGTTTTAGGATGGTTTGTCACATCGTAATCAACTGTAACACGGTGGTAGCAAATATAATATAATCATTTATTTAAGAAAAGAAAGTACATATACAAGCTAATTTGATCTACAGCAATTCCAAAATTATTAGGATTGTACATACAATTTGTGAATTTCGATTGAAACCGTCATAACCTATTCTAAGTTGAGGATTTGTATTAATAGGATTATGATGGTTCTCCGTTATACAATACACTTACAAATACAATTTTTTTCTTTACGGAGTACCTACCATTAAAGCGTGTAAATCTATTTAAATATCTTGGGAACGTAATCACGGAAAACCGAAATGACAAGATAGAGGTAGAAAGGGAATGCAGGGCTTAGTCGAAGTGGGCCATGTAATAGGCTCGGGACAAAAGTTCTACGACTCTCTTCGCATTTTACACAATAATGAGTTCAGGGCTCGCCGACGTTAGTGTAGAGGATTTTTACTGATGCAAAGAAACTGGCATTGGCAGTATCATAATATGATTAATTGTCAATTCATATTATGAATTATCTTTGAAAAAGAAAACAAAAAAGTCTATTCATCTATTTGACAGCTTTCTATGGAGACGTCCATAGAACGCTGTCAAATAAATGATTGCGTTATATGAATTATAAGGAATTCATAATATGAATTGTCAATTAATCATATTATGATTCTGCCAATTCGGCCTTTTTAGCCCTGCTGTTGGACTCTGATCTGCCCGCGAGGTTCATCCAACTTCACGCAAGTGTGATGTAGTATTTGACCTGGTTTTATACTTTATTTTTATCTATAATATTTTACTAACAATAGAACAAGATCCACCTTTTGTGAGTGTGTTGATGACGAGGACGAACAAAATGGACTGTATATTGTCTGCAATATATTTTTTTAAATGGCAGCAACCCAATGCTACCAAACAGTATTAGTATAATAAATATACAGGATTATTCGTAAAATCTATTACCAACATCATAAAAAAATGTTTCTTCCATGACACCAATGCGATGAGAGGAGACCCGTGCCCAGCAGCCCAGCGTATGAATAGATTGATGATGATGATGAATAAATTTACCAAAAATAAACTTTGAAATTTTTGTTGTACTATCTGATACTTTTTATAATATATCTTTCCTAGTAAGTTCAAACGTGCCAGTGTCTTCACAGACGACACACATCCCCGATCTTTCATTTGGCATCAAACTTTTACTTACGCTTTTTGTTACCGCACAGAGCGAACTAGTGAAATATTTGAATTTTTGTTCGAAGGCAAAGTCTGATGAATATATTAAAATTCATCGTTTTTTTATGTGGGTAATATAGTCCTGCAAGGTTGTCAGTATTCTACAAATAACCAGTATAACATTATATAATATGTTTTAATTCTTTCTCTAAACGAAATATTCATTGTATACTCACTAGTATTCCAACCCTGCGGATTCCCATCCCCACCAAACGTATATATCTGCGTTTGTCCATTGTTTCCATCTAGGTTAAAGAACTCTGAAAGGTCAAAATTCAATTGCGGCTTCGACGTTTGCGGTTGTTCATATTTGTTGTTGAGACTGTTATCGACATGGAAATTTGATCCTTCTTGTCCTTTGTGGAATAGTGTATGTTGTAAACTTATCGTAGTCACATATTCAGTAGAAGTGGGAATATCTGAAAAAGATAATTTGTTTATTATATAGTTGTGATATTATGGATAAATAAAGGAAAAGAAAATGATAAAATAAAGTAGTTTTTATAAAAATGAAGTGATAAAGTTTAGAAATCACTTAATTTTTAATATGGTAGGACGATAACCTGTGACCGTCATTCAATAAAACAATTTATGAATAATCCCATAATTATATTATTCCATTTTATGGCCTTTTTAAAGTTATACTGAACAATATTTTAAAAACCCGACTAGACGAACGCTGGATAATAACATTCAAGACACTTCCTTGTAGGCTTATTATTCTTTTTATATTTCAAGATCATAATTGTTTTTCTGCTGGCGCTTTTAATACGTCGTATTTGAGTTTTATTTTTAGCCAACTTCAAAATAAGGAGGATGTTCTCAATTCGTCTGTATGATTTTTTCTCTTTTTTTATGTTACGCGATAACTGAATTACGCGTTTTTGTGAACCGATTTTGATGATTCTTTTTTTATTGGAAAGAGGGTACCTCAGTAGAGGTTCCATTTGAATTTGAAGACAATATTCCACCTCTAAGAGTCGCAAACTGAGGGATGAATCAATGATGAAAAACTTTTCCACGAACTTTTCAGGTCGATTTCTTTAGTACCGTGTACTGAGATTACATTCTCGAGTATTAACTATAATTTCATACATTAGTGCGAAAGGATAAAATCCAGCGCTTTTTCATTTATATTTTCTAAATATAAAATTGTTTTTAGAACATTTTCAATTATTAATTCTTGTGTGTACGGACTAATAGAATCCTTTTACAAGTCACGTATGAACCTTATAAAAAAGTATTATATTTGTAGTAATTTGAAGCGCCGCCCGGCCTGGTATGCTGATCACGCTGGTTCGAATCCAGCCGGTTCGAAGGAATTTTTCTACGTGTTCGATCTTTGTATTAATAATTATTATATTCACTGTAAAAGTTGAAAGCGAGTTATTGTAAAAAGTTTGTTCTTGATCTCAAATATCTACGTAATGAAAATGTTCTTTGATCATTGCATTATTTACCTCCAGGTCCAGTACAAATAACATTATCATTGACAATGAGAGCTGTCAATTTAGGCAGAGGCGATGTGGTAGGGAAATCCACCCGGTAATCGATTGGCATTCCATGGTTGAAGTCATCGAGAATGTAAGGATTGTCTCCTGTAGGTGCCAGGCGGCCGACGTATGTCTGAAAAGTTAGAAAGACATTTTTTTTATTTGCGTTTTCATTTTTTCTACGTCAGTGAAAAAAAATATATTTAACCGACTTCAAAAAAAGGAGGAGGTTCAATTCCACTGTTTTTATTGTATGTATGTTCCGCGAAAGTTTATGAACCGATTTTAATTCTTTTTTTGTTGGAAAGAGATATTCCACCTCTAATGTTGGCAAGGTAGGCGATGAACCCGATTTCGCGCACTTTCCGGTAATCGATTTCAATAAAACTTGGCAATTAGACGTAATTCCACGAATTTTTGAGGTCGGCTTTCTTAGTGCTCGGTACTGAGATTATTATCTCTCTCATTTGCATTAAGTATAATCTGGGCTTGAGGTCTACAAGGCATAAAGTTGCGCCGACGGCGGCTCGCAAGAGTGCGTTGACTGCTAAGTAAGGATCTACAGGTATACAACTGTAATGCGAAGGCTACAATGTGAATGAAGCTAAGCTAACTTAGCTTTGCTCACATGGCATATTTTCATACTTCGTTTCATACTGCGGACTAAGCCAACCGAGGTAACCAACCCAACGATCCAGCTAGTTATATAAAATATGTCGCCCTTCTGCCGCCCTTCACACCCGCACATGTCACTACTTTTTAAGTATTTTCTTAGCTTAGCTTTGCATGCAACTACAAAAAAATGAAAATCAATATAAGTTTTTTTCTCATAGGTAAGCATTAACACACTTGAAATCGTCACATTGGTTAAAATCTACCACTCATTAATCATTAAGGCAGATTCCCCTGAGAAGACTGAGGAAGAAACTGTAGGGGTTGCTCTTTGTAATTAATTTTTGTACACATTCAACATGTATAATATATATATATACATAAATATATACAGGGTGGAAATTTGTAATGCCACCTGGAGGGAAAGTACTCTAAATACTGGAGACAGAAATTTTTACTTAAAGGAAACATTCCTTTATTTTTTAAAAGAAATAAAACTGCATTCATTCGAGTGTAAACGAGTTGAAGGCTGAGGTTCAGAATACGATTTGTAATACAATTCATCACAACACGTTATTAAAAGTTACTCAAAATGAATTCGTTAAAAGATTAAATTTGTGTATCCAAGAAAATGGAGCTCATTTCGAGCAACTAATTAGTTAGATTACCATTTTTTTCGTTTTATTAAAATACGTTAAGATTTCATGGTTTTTTTTTCCATTTAATTAACCAATTTTGTGAGAGAGATTTTATTCTTATAATGAACCCTATCGATCGATGCAATAAAAGTGCAGGATGCATTTTTTTCAGATTAAAGCGGGTTCGATTCCCGCGTGTTGCTAAAAATTTTCGAAAATCTATGAATGCAGTTTTATTTCTTTTTTCAGTTTTATTTTGTTTTCAAACATCAGAGAACAAGATTACCTCCGTGAGCTAAATGGGTTATTACCACGGATTTTTGTCATCCAAGTACGCAGAAGTTGTATAATAACCATTAGCATAAAGTTTTTGTTTCACTTTACTACGTGAGCTAAGTTAGCTAGCCTCGTTCATGGTGTTGGCCTGCGCTTTAAACCCTTATTTGTAAATATAGGTGGGTTCAATTTACCTGAACAGTTATAAGACTAAAACTAAAATTTCAAAAATCCTGACACAAAACAGTCTACTTGAATAAGTTAGAGACCAACTTAACCGGTTAGTGCTTCACGCGTTTCATAAAGATCGAATGAAAGACAGGATGAATTTCGTCCAATAAGTTCAACTTTTTGAAAAGTTGTACCTAGTTGAAGTAATTGGAATGTTTGTGTCCGATTAGTTGAACTGATTAAACTTATAGTTGAACTCAGTGGAATAGAGGAGATTTTGGTTTGTATTTAAAAAAAAAAAATGATTTATTTATTCTTCTTTTTAGGATTGATGCAAATAACATTGGTAATTTACGCTTTAGTTTAGCCATTTTTATATCAAAGCCTTTTGTGTTTCTAATACTTAGTGAAGTCGTCATATGCCTAGTGGTAAGCGACACGCCTGTCCCTAACAGTTGCAGTGCCATTCAGAGTTTTAAATCACAAAGATGCGGTACTGCAACTGCGCCCGGCAGCCTGAAACATAATTTGACAAGTCCCATGTATCTGTAATTTCACCAGCACCCTTCAAAACCGGAACGCAGTAATGGTCACATTACTGTTTGGCGGCAGAAATAGGTAAGGTGGCAGCGGCTGGACGAACTCTTTTACAAGAAGCTCTATACCGCTACAATAATTATTATGCCTTGCTCCATAAGATCGGAGGTATCTGTCATTGGAAATGAGTTCATCGATTTTGAGGAACAATTTAGCCGATTCAAAAATAATAAACCATGGGTGCCAGGAGTCTATGTAGCCATGTAACTGCTTTTTTCCTTCAATATTTTACATTCATCGTATTTATACATGCTTAACCTGGCGGGAGTGTGGCCGGGTGTGACATACCCACCTCTTATTTCATGTATTTTTCTTATTAGTTATTCAACGTTTTGTTGCTTGGAGTAGCTGAAGTTAAAAAGACGAGAGGATAATACCAAAATCGCAGTGTCTCTGCAATCAGCACTCGAGATTATATACTTGTCCACAACGCTCGGGTACGTAATACCCATGTAATACCCTACCACTGCTGACGTTTACATTTCATGACAAAATTTTTGCATTATTTTTTATTGACAAAATTAAAGACGCCATCGGAAAAAACTGTAAAAAAAATATTATTATTTTTTGTTTGAAAACTAGTAATTTTTAATTTTCTTTAATAATAATATAGAAAGTGTTAAATTTCACAGATTTATTTATTTATAATAAATCATCGCATTGTAATTTACAATAAAACACATTTAATCCAATGCTAAGTATCTGTTAGTTATATAAAAGTTGCAGTCAAATTTTCTAATATTGTCTCGGGCCTGGGTGTTTGTCGTACCGTCGTTGTTTCTGATTTCCATAACACAAGTGCTTTAGTTACTTACTTTAGAATCAGAGCAACGTATGTGATGTTGTCTAATAATTATATGTATTACCATTGTTGTAATGTCATCGGATTTTCACAGTATAACAAATTTCCATAGTATAACAAATTTCAAGTTGACAGGACTATTGGAAGTAAAATAAATATTTATTTTATGATCGAGATCCCTACGCTAACTGGTAAAAAAGCTGATGATCTTTAAACAGCTGAGCAGAGATATTCATGAAATATAGTCTAAGAACCATCCCGATCAAGTTCAAATAAATAAAAACCACTTTGAGGTCAATCCATCCGTCCACAGACATACAGGCACATGGGACTTGTCAACTTATGTCTCAGGTAGTGCCACTTAGATCTTTGCGATTTAAAGCTCTGAGTGATATTGTAAATCAGGGGTTCCCAAACTTATTTTGTCTACTGCCCACTTTGAGAATAAATTATTTTTGAGCGCCCCCATTTATTCACCTACTTAAAAACCACTATAACTTCATATTAAATTAATTATTGTGAGCTGTATTAGCGGAGATGAAACATTTGTTCTAAACGAGACTTTTACTATAACCCGCAAGAGTTAACTTGAGACCTGAGCGCAGTAGATAGTACACAACGGCGCTCAGGTCTCAAGTTAACTCTTACGGGCTACATCTGCCAATGAGAATGATTATTGAAACGCAACTTTTTAGTATTCAGACAGAGTATCTTATAAAACAAACATAATCGATTCTAATATAAAAACTAATGTGAAGGATGAATCTGATGCCATTTAATAAGTTTGTTGATATCAGGTTAAAAATTTACTCAAAAACAGCCGCAAGTCACCACGTTCGGTAACATGCAAACGATTCCTCTTTTTAGTAAGCAGCGTTGTCACAGCACTATAACGACGTTCACACAAATATGACGATGGGAATGCTATCAAGAATCGTTGAACGATTGACCACAATCCAGGGTACAATTGCGGGATCGGTTTTTGTAGCCAAAATTCTTGGTAGTCATTTTTGAACTTGACTTTTATTTCCTCGTTCGTTGTCAATTCTATAAGTTCTACTTCCTGCTGAGATGATATTGCTGTTGACATTTGAAAACGGATCCAACACCCAGTCTGGTATTTCCAAGTTCAAAATATCTTGGTATCGTTCGGTGAAGTCAATGTGGAGGTTTTCCAAATGTTGGCAGTAGACAAACAAGTCGTCGTTACTGTAGGATACTGATAAATTCGGAAAATTGTGAATCTCACGTCTGCACACATTCTTTTTGTGTAGAAGCAGTTTGGCTGCGAAAGCAGCAACGCATTTTTTGTTTTAATTAAATTTAGTTCATCGCCTTGCAGTTGGAGATTCGTGTCGTTGAACAATTTATACAGGTCTATCTTGTAAGCTATATCATTCTTTGATGTAATGAGCTTGTTGCGCAATTCTGTATTTTTAGTTTCCAAGAATTCTATGACAGAGTAAAACGGGTTGTAAAATCGAGTCAGACAATTGCCTCTTGATAGCCAACGAACTTCAGTATGAAAGAACAAATGGTTGAAATCTTCGTCATTAGTAACACAAAGCTGATGAAATAATCTATCATTCAAAGAGCTGTTACGGATTTTATTGACTGCTTTGATGACAGTGATTGAAATAGTCGTTCACTTAAATTTCTAGCAACTAAATGTTTTCTATGAATAACGCAATGTACAGCAAGGACATCTGGAATTTTATTTTTTAAGTACGCTATGGAGCCTTTATGGCACCCTGTCATAGCCGGAGCGCCATCCGTAGCAACTGATATAATATTTGTCAAGGGAATCTCTTTCACATCACAAAACTTTTCCAATGTGTTGAATATGGTTTCGCCTTTTGTATCGGTCTCTAAATTTCTAGCAAACAATAGTTCTTCACATATTTTCTCATCTTTAATAAACCTCACGTAAGACAGCAACAATGCTTCATTAGTTGGTAAAGTGGACTCATCGAGCTGAATTGAGAATTGATTAGTCCTCAGATGGTTGCACAATGATTCTTCAATTCAGCCATTTCA